AAAAAAAAAAAGTAGATACTTTATATATATATTCCCTTTATAAAGTATCTCCAAATCCTCATGATGGGGTCCTTGTGTTGGTCTACAGAGGAGGAAAGCAGGCTCTGAGGAATGCCTGCGATCTCAGAGTTACTAAGCGTCAGAGTGTCAAAGCTGGAGTTCTGAGTCATGTCTCCCTGACTCCAGGTCCTGAGCTCTTAACCACAACACTCTCCTGACCATTTCTCATGACAGTCCAACCATATGAATTCAGTATTGTCATCTCCATTTTACAGTTGAGAAAACTGAGGCCAAACTGAAGTGACTTGCCTACAGTGAGATCAGTGGTAAAACTGGGCTTTGAACCCATTTTCTGCAGAATTCCAAACCCTATGCAAGCTCTAGTCTTCTTCATCAGTTTGAGAGGGGGTACTTTTTCCAATGTTGAGGCCATTGGAATAGCCAGACTTTTTTGTGCCTGGGTCTGAAAAGCATCCCGTGCTCTGGGGTAGGGAGTCTGATGTCCTCTCCCTAGACTCAGAAGGCTGTGCCTTGTCCCTTTGCTGAAGTCTGGGCTCCACCCCTGCTGGGCACCCAACCCCATATGCTTAGAAGAGGTCGGATTGTTTTGGGCAGCTCCAATGTGTGCCATTTGGGGTGGTTTCTCCTCTCCTGACTGTTTCCTCAGGGAGCATTCCCTAGCAGTCCTCTGGGGCTTCCTGGACGAATGTTATAGGAAAAGGAGGCTTTCGAGGCACTGATATAGAATTTTCTGGAAGGTTTTTTTATTAATGATTTCTAAAAATGTGAAAGATTTTTTTAAAAATCTAGTTTCTTTCTCTTCCTCTGGACTCAAATATAATCTTTTATCATGTCCTGTTGAGGTATGTGCAGCCTGTTGGGTAATCTTGAGTCAGAGAGGAAAGCTTGCTGACACTTCCTGTTGTCTGGGGTGGGAGGAAGCAGACCTCCCCCCAGGCTTGGGAAAGGGTTAGTTGCCACAGTGTTTCCTGAATGCATTTGGTGGTTTCCATCAAAATGAAAATGTGTGTACCCTCTGATGCAGCAATTTCATTTGTACACTAGAGAAACGGGCACACAAGTGAGGAAAGACAGGTGAACGAGGATGTTTGGTGTGGCATTATTTATAATAGTAAAGCACTGCAGACAAATGAAATATCTATCAGTGGTGAAGTGGTTATAGAAATTATAGTACGATTATACGTACCATGGAATACCATGAAGTTATTTATAAATAACTTTATAAAT